CTTTGTGCTTAACAGCTTAGACTCGGTGGTTAGGATTTATTGTAAGGGCCAAACGGTCAAGTGAATTGTGTCCGCGTAGGCCACCTTAGCCATAATACAAGCTTTTACACGCTCAATCTTGTACTTTACACACATAAATGAAAGAAAGTTTCTACCTTGCTATTATAAATTTTTGCCTCTTAAAGCATCGAGCTTAAGGGCTATCTCTACTCGGGGACTATCAAGCCCAAGGGCTACCCCCACTCGGGGACTGTCGTCTGAAATAAGTTCGGGCAACTCGAGTTATCAAAACCCGGAGGCACAAAACCTATTCGGTAGTGCCTAAACCTAAAAGGCTATAGCCGACCTAAAAACGGCTCGGAGACGTCCGAAACCCGTAATCAAAATGTAAGGCCTTCAATAAATATTCAAAACCTGTCAAAAGGTTACCCTCGACAAAAACATCATCTAAGAACACTTAAGTATTTTTGGAAAATTTCCAGTCACTCTGAGTTTTCAAAGCTTCAAGAAAATAAAAGCTTACATCGAGGTCAGGTTTTGTTTGGACCTCTGAAAAATAGATGACCCATTACTACATTTGATTATATGCTAATACATCAAAAATATTTGCAAGAATGGAAATTGTGAAAATATGTTAAAAGTTGAAATTGCCAGAAAGGGAAATTTTATATATTCTGGAATATCTTTACGAAAGCCCAACAAAAACAGCCTCAAAATGAACAAAACATATGTACACAACACAAAAACTAAAAAAATCCTAAGGCATTCACGCCTGATCTTCACCGGAGCCCGATTCGTCACCAGAACCATCGGGGCCTTCAGATTCTTTGTAGCCCTTCTCACCTTCCGGAATATCTTTACAAAGGCCCAACAAAAACGGCCTCAAAATGAACAAAAAAAAATGTACACAACACAAAAACTAAAAAATCCTAAGGCATTCACGCCTGATCTTCACCGGAGCCCGATTCATTACCAAAACCATTGGGGCCTTCGGATTCTTCGGAGCCCTCATAGCCCTCCCCACCTTCGGGTTCAGCTAGTTTCTTCGCCTCGGCCTCAAGTCTTTTTGCCTCCTCGATCTCGACAGACAGGTCGAAGCCTCGGGCATGGATCTCTTCGAGGGTCTCCCTTCGAGACAGCTGCCTCACGTACTTAGCAATGGTCTTCAGGCGGGCCTCGGCTGCTTCGACATCGGCCTTGTATTGAGCCACCATCTTCTCAGCATCGGGGGAGGTTATCTCCAACTTGGACCTCGTTGCTTCGAGCTCTTTACCAAGGGCATCCTGTCCAGCGATGACCGAGCCCAGCTATGTTCGGAGATCCTCATTTAGTTGAGCATGTTTATCAGCTTTCTCCTTCGCTACCCGAAGTTGAACCTCTACCAAAGACAGTTTCGCCTGGGTAGTTTCCTTCTCCGAGGCCAACAGACACATCTTGCTTTTCCACCCATCGGCCATGCCTTGTATTTTGTCCATCTCCTTTCGGAGTTGGTCGATCTTCTGCTAGACCTGCGAGGTATTGTCGTTAGCCACTACGACCAGTTCCTCGTTTCTACCTTCAAATACCTTTACCTTTTCAACCAAGTTGGCGTGCCCCCGCCTTAGGACCGATGCTTCTTTCTGAGCCCCATCCAGCTCGGCCTGAAGGTTCTTAATGACCCCTTCTTGTTGCTCGTTGAGAAGCTTGTACATATCCTTTTTTTCTAGGCTAGCTCCTTGACCTCGAGCTCGAGTTAATTGACCTCGACCCGGTACCGAAAGAAGCTTTCGTGATGATGTACTGAGGCCTACAAAAAGATGAAAAACATAAGAAATATCAAAACCTAAGTAAAGTTCAAAGGAATGTAATGATACCTTACCCGGTTCAGTGCTTGTTACGCCTCATTGAAAAGGCACGGCGCGTTCACCTCATTCATTTTTGCCCGGTCCTCCTCGGTCACATGGCATCGGAGGTAGCTAGCTATCCCCGTGGGAGAAGATAGGACCGGGGCATCCTCCGGGGCGGTCAGAATAACTGATCTCTTGCGACCGAAGTCCACACTCGGCCCTCCAGCTTCCAATGATGTGTCCTTCTTCGGAACTTCCAGGTCGCCCAACCCGGAGAAATCTTCCAAAGCGGACGAGTCCACACCATCAAAAAAGGAATGAAGGGGATCGTCTGCGCCATGGACCCCTTCATTGGACTTCTTCTTTCCTGCTTGGGCCTCCCCGAGCATGGACTCGGTGTAGGAGGTCATCCCCGAAATCTCAATTATACCGGGCACTTCCTTCGGAGAGGAGCCGGCATCCTGGGGTGTCCCGCCCCGGGTATCCATATCGACCTCCAGAGTCTGAGGGAAGTCGGCCTCACGAGTCTTTCTTTCGGATGCCTCCTGCTCCCCGGGAAGGGTCATTCCGCGGGCAACGAAAATGAGGTCTTTTTCCAGCTCATCCCTAAGCCGGAGAAGAGAGTCGGAGTATGGCACCCTGGAGCTAGAGCTCTTCCTGGGCTTGCGAGCCACCCTCTTCTTTGGTTTCTCTTCAGGGCGCGGGGAGCGCGAAGGTTTTCTCTTCCTTTTCATCTTTTCCTCCACGGCAGCCCCAGGTTGTACCGCAACGGAGAGATCAACAGACAAGGACACGTCCTCGTCCCCTTCCGAAGGCCTAAGTTCAGTGGTATTGGGCAAACCTACAATAACAAAGGGGAAGGAAAGTCAGTATGATGAAAGTTAGAAGCATGGTATTAACTATTCAAAGAGAGACCATACCCTGAGAACGGGCCTCTTATCGGCCCCTCGAAAACTTGCGCCATGCGCGCTCGGAGTACGTCATCTGCGTACAGATGCCCTCGATCCATTCCTTTAGCCGGGGGACCACATTCGGAACCCGGGTGACAGCTGCACAACCACAAGTATGAATGGGAAGAAAGAAATTGAAGAAAAATTGACGCTTAAGGAGAGACTGCACTTATGAGATGCGTTCCAATTCTTAGGGAATGGCATGAACTCAGAGGGAATCAAGACTTCGGTCTTCACCCAAACGAAGCGTCCCTGCCAGCCCCGGTCTCGGTCTTCATCAATGCTCGAAAAGGGAACCTTGCTGGCCGGGCGAGTAAGCTTGATCAGTCCCTCTCAGAAAATTCGGGGACTATATAAACGGAGTAGATGATTGATGGTGAACTGATGAGACTCGGTCTTGTTCACGAAGTAACGAAGGAGGATCACGATCCTTCATAGAGATGGATGGATTTGCCCGAGGCACATCTCGTACCTCTTGTAAAAATCCAGGTCAATCGGGTCCAACGGGTCCAGTGTGAAGGGGTAAGTGTAAACACTTAAGTATCCTTCCACATGGGTAGTAATGGCATCTTCGGGCCCAGGGACTACTACATTCTTGCCTTCCCAATTGCAGTCCTTTCGGACCACGGGAAGGACGTCTTCGGTCACGGAGCATATGTACCTTGATGCTCCTTCACCCCGGTCCTATTTGCGTGAGGGTTTCTCGACCTTAAAGTCGTCTGCAATTGAGCAGCCCCCAGGAATAAACATTTTCAAGGGAGGCTCGGGGGACGGTTCGTCGGCAACCACCTCGGGAGAAGCCGTTTCGAGGGCAACTACTTCAGGGGTAACTGCCTCAGTACCAGCGGCCGGTTGGGAAGATGAAGAGGCAACTTGTTGAGTAACAGATTTGGATGTTTTAGCCATTGCTATCTGGAGAAGTTTGAAAATTTAAAGAAAGAATACGAAGATTTGAAAGAACTAGTTTGAAGGATGAAGAACAGAGTATGAAGATTTGAAGGGAATCTGGGAAAGAACCAGGAAATCACTATGAAAGTCGAAGAACAAGGATGAAGATATGAAGGTTGAAAGAAGTTTGATGATAGCTGAGAAACTCGAAGGTAAAAGCTTGGTCGAAAAGTAGAAAAGGAACAAATGATGGAAGCTTTTATAGGGAAGCAGGCGACGCTTCGCATTTGGGGGCAACCAGCCGATGATTGACACGTGTCCGAAGTCAGAACGACGCGACTGAGGGGACGTTTCGGCTCCTTCATCGTAACGTATGAAAGAAGGAACCGGAGAACATCTATCGTTTCCCATCATTCCGGCAAACCTACGCTCTGAGAAACGAGGGGACTATTTGTATACGGGTAAAAATCGAGGCTGGTGAGTACCCTGATTTCCCGGTGAGGCAAACGGAGCAAGGACATGACTGTGGGGAATCGGAATCGAAGCCAGGAGCCTTTCGCATCGAAACCCGAGCAAAACACCTGCCCTCGGAACCATCGAGACCAAGCCCCCCGGGTCCGGTTCGAGTCCCAAGACCTCGGGGAGCATTACCGAACGACCACGCACGATTAACAAAGGGTTGTGATATCCGTGTCTAACCGGATATCACGGCGTGAATCTCGGTCCGTATTAGCAGTATATCAGTGATTAGCAGACAGGAAGATTTTTACCTTTTTTAGAATTGTACTTAGGGTTAAACTCTCCTACTATATAAAGGGGAAGCTAATTATTTATTAGAGACATTGTAACGCATATACCAAGGCAATATACACCTACTATATAAAGGGGAAGCTAATTGTTCATTAGAGACATTGTAACGCATATACCAAGGCAATATACACCTATTTTTCTGTTTCTAAAGGATTATTCAAAGTTCTTGTTTTGGTTCACAAGTTTTTCATAAACACTGGTTCAAAACCAAAGGCGAGCTTCTTGTTAAGCCTTTAACAGAGCCAAGACTCGCTATCATCATTGGTTTGGATATTTATTCTATCTTTTATTTGCTTATCTAACGTCATTAATCACTTGTATTGAATTAAGCCACATATCCTTAAAACAGCGTACAAATTCAATTGTTATCCATTTTTAAGGGTAAACACATGTGATGCTACATCAGTTAAATTCTGAACCAAATGAAAGACAATGCCCAATTAAACGGTAAAGATAATCAACTTCCAACATGCAGAAACTTATTTTTAGTTATACGAGAAATGATTGGACTCACTTCATAACAAAATTTGACAAGAAAAGATACCTCTAGAACTCAAGGTTGATTAGCCCCCAATAACTCTCCTACAATATCAGTTATGTTCAAGCGAGGCAAATCCTAGTAAATAACAAGTATTGACTTATGATTAAAAAAATCACAAGGTAAAATGGCTCATAACTAAAAGGGTTAAGAGAATTCGCGACAATAATAAGAGAGAAAGTATATTTCTATTACATCTGAATTTGTTGTCAAGGTGGGCCCACTAACATGAGATATCCTTTCTTCTGGAGGCGGACCGAGGGGCCTGCAGTGCACAGTTTTGATGCAGCAAAATGTTACTGGCTCACGAGATCTGGTAAACCACTATACGAGGTCTTCCGGGGATAGTTTTTGATAGAGCCACCAATGGGACAAGCACTCAAATTAGATAGCAGATGTCATACTGTCGATGTGCTAACATATAATAAGCCTTCTCTGGAGGCCAGGGTAAGTTATGACAGAGCCATGACATATGCTACATTTGCTGATACAGAGAACAGAGGTCGTCTATATTTAGCTCTAGGATGGAGGGATTTGACGAGCGAGAAAAGGCACTTCCACCACTGTACCCACAACATCATCACCAATAATTACAGTGTCTCCCTCAGAAGCAGCTTTCCTCTTAATATAGCCAAGTCCTAGGGGCTGAGATGCTCGTATACCAGTGGTGAAACTAGTCACCTTGCCAACCTGCCAAGTTCATAGCACCATCATTCTGCCAATTCCTTCCAAATGGTCATACTAGGATCGATAAATAAAAGGGACCTGGTTTCAGTAATGCACTTGACAAGATGGGGATGCCATGTATTGTTGTTCATCAGAATTACAGTAGTCTTAGACAATTCTTCAACGAGGCATTAATTTTGTTAGATGCAATTATATGCAAGACAGAAGACAGAACAATACAACGGGTTAATGTGCTAAAATACAATTTGTTACAATGTAGTGCTATCACCATAGGGACTGAAACAATCAATTGGGAAATCAGAAAAGCTCAAACCTTTTTCCCGTCCACTGAAATGGTGCTGCCAGGTTCCACTGGCGATGATACACGTATTCCCCACAGCCTCTGTTTGATGCCATCGTAAGTTACAAGCCTAGAAATGGTTTCTTGGCCCTTATAGCACCCTGAAATTAATTTCTCAACTTTGAGAAACCGTAATCAGAAGGAAGCATAAATATAGCTTATGAACCTTTATTCAGAGAAACAGCATTCCACAGATTAGCCTCCAGAACATTAAACTCATCAGTGAGCTCTTTCCCAGGAGCTGGTCTTCCTGCATGAATAAAGAACAAAGCTTTCCACATCAATATTGGGAATCACATCAGGCAGGCTGTTGACTGCTCAAAACTTTAGGACATGAACCTAAAGCAAACAGGAGTCAGAACATAATGGAATCATGACGTCAACAAAAGATATTATCTGGAATATTAACAATAGAAAGATGGAATAAAATTGTCCTTAATTACCTTGAAGTATCCTTAAAGTTTCCCATGCATTAGTACCCATTGGGATGGTCCCATGACCTAGAAGAGCTTTCCAGACCGACTCAGCAGCAGCTGGAGACATCATTAGTGAGTAACCTTCATCAGAGATGATATTTCCCACTCCCACAGTTATTGGCATTCCATTTACCTTCACATGTTGATGAATTTCATAAGAAAAAGTAAAAGGTTAAACCTCTTATATCTTGGAAAACTCGGGCATGACAATATGTTCAAGAAATTGCAATTAATCTACAACATATAGGACATGAGAACAACTACACCAGCAAAAGCTAAAGGGTAGAGAAGTTAACAAGCAAGTACTTCAGCGGCAAGGAAAGTAATAAATTGCGGATATTGCAGACAAATGGCAGAGAAACTGTAAAATATTCTATATTGAGAAGGTTGATTCTGACAATACAAGAACAGCCATGAATGCAGCACAAGGTTGACTTAAGAGGTTGCAATTGGAAATGACAAATAAATGGGTAGATACTCATGTTTTGTAGTCATGCAAGTGGGAATTTGGTGAATTGATGCATGAACAAAAAATGAGGGCTAATGAAGTCTGAACATTTCTTATTCAATGTGTTCAAAACCAACGTCTCTCCTTTGAAAAAGAGAAAAGAACATTGGAAATCATGGTTCAAGTTTGGATTATTTGGCACAATCTAATCACCATTTTACATTGAATCTTTTTCTTATGAAACTACTTGTTTGGTTACTTTACAAGTTAATCAATTGTCTGAGTTATTACCAATCATAAATAATTCTCTTAATTGAATACTCACTTTGATCCGACTTGTATTTTCATGGAATCTAAGAGAACAATGTTTGAATGATGAATACTTTGCATTTTGAGGAAAGAAGGTGTATCTTGCACAGACTACGACAGTAAATAGATCAAACAATATGGATTGGAACTTAGAAGGAGTATCAAATAATCACACAGTTCAAATAATTTAAACCAAACAGATCTACGATTCTTTCTTTTTTTTCTTTTGACATACATAAACCAGAATGAATCAGAGAGGGAATTATCAGATTACACTGTAATGCTTATGTGAGCCATATGGTTGTCCAACTACGTCAGCAAGATTCAGAGCTTCCATTATCTGTTTGTAAACCATTTGCATGCAAACGATAGTTTTAGCTTTTAAGAGAAGAAAAAAAGATAACAAATATTATCAATTTGTTTGACGATTAATTAGACACAGTTCTTACTTGGTTACTTCTAGGCCCTATTAGTACGAACAAGGATGTTTGTCCTGTAATATCTTGAATTTCAACTTTGTCTGCAAAGAATATGTACCTATCAATAGAAGTATTGCATATTGTTATTTAAATCAGCAGGTAAATAATGTGAACATAACTGGTTAGGTCCCAAAAATCTATTCAAGCATAGATAAGCAAGAGTGAGAGCAATCCAGAGCAAAAGCATGAACATACTTCTTAAGCATTCCAGTTATTCTTTCCTTGGTCACTGGAGAGATCACCAATGTGATTGCAGTTTTCTGTGAAATGTGAGATGGACTTCAATAATAGTCTAACATATGAAAGCTTAGGCACAAGGAACCAATTCTCAGCAAGGAACTATAAAAGATTACCATAATCCAGGCGTGGGCAATATCGATGGTTCTGGCAGTTGGTGTCACAAAAACAGTGTCACATCCCTACAATTCCCAGACATGAAATATAAAAAGCTGGACACCAGTGGAGTTTGCAACTTTCATCAGCCTAAAATTGCCTAAACCAAGTAAATACCTGCCCTTCATGAAGAATTTCAAAGTTAGCAGTACTTTGGTTGTGAAGAAACTGAACCCTGTCTTCTCCACTAACTGTGTGAAATGAAAAGATAAACAGACATCTCTGAAACAACAACTATGAATGAGTAGACTCCAAAATATTTCCAACTAAGTAGAAAAATTCTTTTCCAGTCCGTCCACAATACATACTAGCATGAGAACAAGTGTTAATAAAATTTTCACATCCAATCTCCACATGATTTGTACGAAATAAGCATAAAACCACATTCTGCAGAATCACTGAACTCAAAGGTGGGAAGAACTTACCTTTTTTATTAGAAGAGGAATGTGGATAACGAACTTTTTTTTTATTGGTAAAAATGGACTTTTTTTTAAATATATTAAACAACTCACCTAACCTCTATTCCTCCACGTCAATAGATTATTCACAGATTAAACTGAGGTTTGGTCAAGAAAACTGAATCTTTTTCAGTATGAAAATGTGTGGATGGATATACCTCTTATCCTGCCGTAGTGTGAAAGATCCACAACCTAGAACAAAATGAATGATACCATCAGGTCACATTTTGCAAGACTAACCTCAGGAGTGTACAAGTGCCCCTACAAAGCCAGGTTCAATTCCAGATATTGCAGTAAAATTTACAACATATGATGATTAAAATTGGACCATAACAATCTTTTAATCAACAGGTGAAAATCATATGACAAGAATATTCTTAATTAGGAGAAAATAACTAAAATTACCAAGAAAACCTGAATCAAACTAGATACACACCGCGACTGCATTCTCAACAGCATCTAGTGCCTCCTCGTCATTATCGAATGTTCCTATTGCCCCATCTTCTGATACCTTGGCCCCAGCAACAGTCATAGTATCCTGTAGGAAGCAAAAGAAGAAAAAGTTAAGCAAGTAAGCCAGTAAACAAAAAGTACGAGCAAAAACCAAACTGTAAGGAGAGCAAGAAAGAAAGCATATAGAAGCATCAGGTCAGTGACTTCTCATCCTTCACTTATTAATCAGGAAACATTTAGCAGATGTAACAGCATTTCCTTCTTGTACCCTCATTGTTCAGGAGAAGTTCTCTAACGCCTAACTACCCACTGAAGTGAGACATTCCAACTTCCAAGCAGGGTTGGACGGAGCATTGGCAGGAGAGGCACCCACTTACCACAAGACATGTTTCTCCCCCATCCCTCTTTATTACATGGAGTATTTGTTTTTTCTTTTCTATTTCTTTTTTGTCTCCTTTGGTGAGGTTCCTCAGGTGTAAGTTTATACTCTTTTTTGTTTTTCAAATAAGAGTGGTGAATGAAGGTGGTAAGTGGGGACGAGGTAGATCTAAAATCACTTGGAAGGACCTACAATTTCCTGGTATCCATGATGACTTAGTGAAAGATAGGGCACAATATCTATCAACCGAGAATATGTTTCGGTCATGTTAGCAACTATACTTTACATCCTATGCTTTTCTAGGAGTTGTTTAACCTTTCAGAAATTTATAAGTCAGTAGAACATAAAAAGAACTTCTAGTACTTTTATTTTAATTTTTATTTTGTATAATATTGGCCTGAGATGAGTTAAATGGAGTAACATGGTCCAACTCGTTTGGTTTTGGTACTGAGGTTTAGTCGTTGTTGTTGTTGTTGTTTGGTGTTCGGGCCAGGTTGTGCACCACAACCAATCCCCTGGTACTTGCTACCTCCAACCACCATAGGTATTGTATAATTCTGTCCACCAAGATTTTGACAAATGGGAGAATTCATCCAGTATCCCCTCGGCTCGAATTCAGACCTCGGTTCCCATGGGGTCTTCGACCTCTAGAACAACTTTTGTTGTTAGGTTCACTAATTTACTCAGTGTTTCAAGTTTTAGCATCAATAATCCAAAAATTTCAAGTAATTTTACCCAGCAAAAGCGTCTATTAAACAAACCAATTATATAAAGCACACAAAAAAGAACAGAAAAAAAATGAATATGCTTCGATTAAAGCCCACAATCAACAAATATTTGACTTAGAAAACATCAACAAATAATTTTGATTCATTCAACAATGTGTAAATTTTGGTATTATTATACTTACGAGGAGGTCGTGGTCAATGGGAGGTGGAGAAAGGTCGAAAGGCAGCGCAGCTGCAGAAGAAAAAGAAAGCCGCCGCTTAAACTTCGTCGGCGGCGCATCGTAACTGAACGGCCGGTAAGCTAATGGAGTGGGAAAGAGATGAAGAATGGGAGAGGAAGAAAAGGACTGACAAGGAAAGAGCACGCTGGCACCGTAGCAATACGCCATCGCTCGAATCATTTGGAATTTGACAATTGAGACGACCCAATTTTTATACGAGCACATGACCATCCATTTTAATTTTTAACCGGATAGGTATAATGGTTCGCATACGGTCCGTATTTCTCTTATTTTTATACAGTCATACCAAATCAATTTTTCAGTTTATCCATTAAGTATAACTAAAATTATGTTTATAAAATTATTTCAAATGATTATAACGCATAGTGATGGAATATATTGATACGTGTCATGACCACTTCACATACAATATGATAGACAATTTTGTATATTAACAATATTGCTTTCATATTGTTCAAGAACTAGTTTCTTGACACGTGTATGTCTGAGTCATATAAATTATTTTCTTAAATTTATAAAGATGAACGATCAAACTTAGTATTTATATTAAGTCTAATTCCACTATTTACATGGTAAATAAAACTGAATATCTATATACAATTACCACAAAAAAAGCTTCACACTTGATTTGTAAGTTCGAAATCATTGCAGCACAAATCCTTTGTAAAATATCATAAATTGTTTGAAATGCCAAAAACTTTTCCCAGCGTCAATAAATGAAATGCAAATTTCATCAAGTAATGAAACTTGGAGAACATATTTGATGTTAGTGAGTATTTGAAAATTTTCGTGCTAGGAATATCATTGTCGGATTTTCTTATAACGATGTTAATAATAAATGCCATTGCAACTTCTTTGCGCACTTGTGATTAGTATGATTCAATCTGACACTGATAATATTGTAGTTGTTAATTATTTGGGTCAAAGAAGTCATTTCACTTTCTACATGATTATTGAAAAGTGTTACTTAGATTTTTGTCCCTTATTAAATATTTAACCAGCAATGATATCATTAATAAAGACAAAATAAATAAGCAAATTTTAAAAATGATATTATTTCTTCGTCAACTAACGTTATAGGCCTAAAATACCTTCGTGTCTTTAATTTTTTGTATGGTCTTACTAAACCTCTTTGAATACTAATACTTTTATCATCAGTCAAAAAATATTCTTGTAGCTTGTGAATAGGTACATATATTTTGTCAATTCCACATCGGTTCCCATTTTGACTGAACTTGAGATGATTAGGCGGATAAAGAAAAATAATGTAATAGTATTAATTATAAGATAGATTTTGTATTTTCTAGTATGATTAGCATTCTTGTTTGATATAAACATTACTTTGAAACAATTCTAAAAAATGTGACATCTTGCACTGACAATAGCTATTAGTATTAATTTAGGTAATATATTAAAATAATTCTAATTAATTAAAAAATAGAAGTATTACTATTTGTGTGTTCGAGTAAATACAAGTAACCTGTAATTAAGAAGTGTAGAAAAAAAATCTACAGTTGATGCAAATGCTAATTACATAATTATATTAACAACGATTGTTGATAGTTACAAAAATATAGTGTCAAACTGTCAATTTTGTGAAACCTAAATTGAAAGGACGTGCATAATCTTTCTATTATCCAATTAACCTCATTGCTTCTCCTTCCCCTTGTTTTTATTACCTCTGTCATTAACATGCGTAATTACTTAAACACAAAATAATGATTAACTGATACTTGACACATAAAGTTTAATTTATATTCATATGTTATATTACAATAGTAGGCAGTGTCTTCAAAATGATTATACTAATTTTTTTAATCAATAATAATTTATTTTGTTAAAATAATCTTTTCTTTCGCTTATACTTCATAAAGTAGATTTAATGTTTGGCATAATGAACCATAAATACAATAACAATAAACAAATTGTAAGGAACAAAATTAAAAAGAACTTAAAAATTTCTCAAAATGATTAAATAATGAAATTCAAACCATCAGAAGTCATACAAACCAAGGAAACCAACATTTTATATATACAAGGAGAGAGAACGCACGCACACAAGTATGGGCGGAGCCATCTTCGGCGAAGGGTGGTCCGGTGCACACCTTTAGCCGAAAAGTTATGTGATGTACAAAGGTTAAATGTTAGCTATTATGTATATATATTTAATTTTGTACCCCCTTAATACAACTGAGAAACAAATCCACCACCATGGTTGTATCTATCCCACCTTGACAATCAGTAGCCACATTTGCTGCAAAAGAAACATTTTAATTTGGTAATTTCCTAGCACCAATGTTGCCAATAAAATTCCTAGTGAGAGCACAAAAAGAAGTGTTAGAATTAAGTTTAGCTTCGAGCATTTTCGCGAACAATTAGATTAATATCGAAGGGGATTATACAAGTTATGTGAGAAGTGAAGGACTATAGATCGAAATTTATATATAGAAAGTTTGTGCCAGAAAAATTCAAACTAACTGTTTACAGTATTTTCATTCATTATAAATAAGTGCATGACTTTTATGTGGACATAATATGAAAACTATGCACCGTGTTATCATTACAACTTAAGAACTCATCAATTGGATTATATGAAAAAGAGAATAGCTACTCAGAAAATTAAGGAACGTTTAATTTGGACATGAGAAATTTTTTGCTTGATCATCAGCAAATGGCTCAGCTAAAAGGTAGAACCATTTAAATAGATGATAAGGCTTTTACAAGGCAGTTGAATTTATTTAAAAGGGAGCGATTGAAATAATGTTGTTCATTACTAATTTGAAGCATTTTAAGATACACAACCGTTCGAACAGTTTCCTCTTTATTTATGTTTAAATATTACTATTAATATATTATTATTATTATTATAAATTTGTTATAAAATAAAGACTGTAAAGTAAAGACAAGTATAAAGAGAATCTAATATATTATTTAACTTCAAACTCATATACATAATGAGTTGAAATCTCTTCTATTTATAAAAGAAAGGAAGCTGCTGTGTAAGCTGTTGTAAAAGCTGCTTGTAAGCTCCTACTACAAGCTGTTGTGTAAGCTTCTTGTAAGCTGTTATTGTACTAGTTATAGATAATTTTCTACAGAAGTAATATTTATCCACAACGGAGTGCCGAAATGATAAGCTTCTTCACGAGGCTTATTTCCAATAGAGTACTAAATATATAAATATATTTATGGTGGAGTCCAATATGGATAAGCTTCTTCAGGAAGCTTATTTACAACAGAGTACTAAATGGACATCCATAATATAATATATTTATAACACTCCCCCTTGGATGTTTATTAAAAGATAATGTGCCCCATTAAAATCTTACTAGAAAAAATTTCGTGAAAAAAAATTCTAGTGAAGGAAAAAGAGTACACATATCTAGTAATACGTATTGCTAGCGGCCTCATTAAAAACCTTATAAGGAAAAACCTTAGTAAGGGAAAAAGAGTACAACGCATATTTTACTCCCCCTGATGAAAACTTTATTTCAAATATTGAGTCTCTGCATTTCAATCTTGTATACTATCTTCTCAAAAGTTGAAGTTGGTAAAGATTTAGTGAATAAATCTACTGGATTGTTACCATTATTCTCGAGATCATGTGTGAAGAATAATTTTGGTAAAATATATTTCATTCGATATCCTTTTATGAATCTTCCCTTTAATTGGGCTATGCATGTAGTTTTCTTCGTATAATATTGTGGGATTTTTATCACATTCCAACCCACATTTTTCTCGAATAAAATGAATCATTGATCTCAACCATACGTATTCCCTATTTTCTTCATGAATAGCTATTATCTCAGTATGATTTGAAAAAGTAGCAGCAATAGATTGTTTTGCGAAGCGCCATGATATGACAGTACCTCCACATGTAAATACATACCCGATTTAAAATCGAGCTTTATGGGGATCAGATAAATAACCTGCATCTGCATAACCAATACGATCTGCACCACATTTGTTAGCATTAACAAGATACATAAGTGCACCAATTGCATTGAGATAGAGTATTTCAGGACAAAGGAGTTCCTCATCCTCTTTTGGAGGTCGAACGGATCCTTATTCACTTCAAGTGATCGAACACCCATTGGTATACTTAATGGGTGCGCTTTGTCCATGTAAAAGCGTTTAAAGACCCTTTCTATATAGGCAGATTGATGGATAAAGATCTTGTCTGCTAAATATTCAATTTGCAGACCAAGACAAAATTTTATTTTTTCAAGATTTTGCATCTCAAATTCTTTCTTAAGATATTCAATTGCCTTTTGGAGCTCTTCTGGAGTTCCAACAAGATTTATGTCATCAACATAAACAGCAAGTATAACAAATTCTTATGTCATTTTCTTTATAAAAATACATGGACAAATAACATCATTTATGTAACCTTCTTTCAGCAAATATGTACTGAGGCGATTATATCACATGCGCCCAGATTGATTTAAACAGTACAAAGATCTTTGTAATCTGATTGAGTATTTTTCATGATACTTTGAACTATATGCTTCAGGCATTTTAAATCCTTCAGGGATCTTCATATAGACTAAATCAAATAAGTCATATAGGTTATGACTTGCATTTAGATGGCATGACATCTTGCGGTGTCTGGACTATAGGTCTGATCCTCACAATATTTTAAAATATTGTGAACTATATTGTATCAAATATATCGTCGACGATTATTTTGTATCGGTTCCTAAGCGACATAACTTGTTGAGATTTAATCACTTTCTTTATTTTCAGGTACCTGAACATCTTCTGGAGTTTCATGAAATGTTATGTTGTGGGCTCTTCTAGAGCTCATTGCCTTCTCGTTATGATCACTTTGATCATTTGCTCCTATCATTTTTCAATGATTATTACCTTTGGAACCGATCGGTTTACTACGCTTCATGCGTGCAGTAAACTTTATCCTTCAGGGATTTTAATTTTAATAGGAGCATTTGCAGCTGAAATATAATATTTAATTTTGGATCAGCAAATGCTTCTGGCATTTGACTTGAATTATCTTCTAATTGAGGATCATATTAATGATAATTCGATTCATATAACATATTTTCCAGATGTTTATTCCATCCCCCAAATGTTAGAAAAACTAACACATATCCTCAATCTTCTTTGGGAAACCTATCTTTGTGCATTGTGGTAGAGAAATTAATCATATACCACATATC